ACGTAATCGTAGCAGGCCTAAAGCCAACACGACTGAAAAGAGTCGGCTTGACTCGCTCACTCGATCTCTCTTCAGTGTAACAGTTGTTGGGAAGGTCCCGTTGTGTTATTTCATGTCTGGCGCCTCTGTTTGCTTCGCACTGTGTGTGAGGCGTGTGCTCAGTGAGCAGGGGGAGGGGAACGGACTGCAGCGACAGCAGTGAAGACTGAAATGAAACTCTGGCAAATAAATTGGTCGAATAACATTTATTTGTTTTGCAAAGTTGGAACGACGTTCAAGTTAAGTTGGACGTCGCCTTATATGTGAAGCGATGATAAAACAGGGTCATGGCACGCCTGCCCTGAGCCTGTTGACACATGCCTCTCTGAGTCTGACTGGGAAAACCCTCTGACACCAGTTTGCCAGCTGCTTCTGGAACAGCCTTTTAAAGAGAGAGCGAGATTCTTAGCGGTCCCGCAGTGAACACTGATTTTTATTTTGTCATTATTTTAAGGTCACATCATAGAGTCTGTAGCTACGACAGTGTGCCGTGATTCCATATGAAATGGAATAAGATGAGATATACTTCATTTATTCCAAAAGTAAGGAAGTTACTGTGTAACAGCAGCCAAAACATTAAGCACAGCTCGTTTAAAAGGGAAATAGAAAGATTATAATAGGTTTGAAGAGTTTATTTTAGTGGCTTAGCGTCACAAAATACACCAACACATTTTGCCCTGCAGCTCATTCAGCGTAAACACCTTTTATTACATCAAACTCTGAGTCTCTGAATCTGGATTTTCCTTTTTATTACAGTATTTCCTTCTATGAGCGCAGGTGGTTTGAGGGGCATTCACATTACTCATCTTAAATGCAGAAGAATAGAACAGCTCAATAGAATATATTTACAAAACGACAAGACGAAAAAAGCTGAATAAAGTAAAAATGGCACGATGGGGTGGAATAAAACTGGAGCTGTGTGTGCTTTTCTTGTTGTTTTGTGTATGGATAAACATTAGAAAGCCAACACGCCAGCATAGACTGAACACACGGACACACGCACAAACGGTCACACTCTAACAACAAACACAATCAGCTAATCCTGTTTCACTATCCAGCAGGCGCTCGCTGTTAGGACTGCTGGAAACGAGCTAAAGCTCACAAACACACAGTTTCATTTGACCTTGTTTCTAATAACATGTTTTTTTCTCTCTCGTGTGGAAAAACTGGTTGATTTAAACATGATGAAGAAGCGTGTGCTTTCAGATTCAGGCAGCTCATGAGCATATTGCTTCTTTCTATGTGTGCTGTTAAAAATAATTAGTTTGACCAGGAGAAGGGCTTTAAAAGTATAAATAGATGTGACATAATCTCAAATTTAATTACTTAAATGTTTCCCTGCAGATGTCCTGGACTTCTCAGAGGACGGCCTCAGGGTGGTGGCCAGCGGCCCGAGGAGGCCACCTCAGGGCAAACCTGCAGAGAAGAACCCGGACACCCTCCGGAGGATCTTCAGTGCACAAAAGAAGGTCAGACGTGACACCGCTGCTGAGTCACATGAGGCTTGAGTGTGTTGAAATGTCACCTGGATGCACTGCAAACGTGTGGGCCAGGAAATCTCGTGCAGAGAGCCAGACTAAAACTTTATTTTGCCTTTATTTAACCAGGAAGCCAGTAAAATCCTTTACAACAGAGACAGATCCAAAGAAGCACAGTTACAGAGCTACAAAGATATGAAACATAAACATCAGAAAACATGGAGCATAATAGAAAGTCTGGCTTAGCAGTTACACAATAAAGATCATACAAACAACGGTCTAGTTAAACGTAAGAGTTAGGATTTGAGGAGCCACTGAGAAGAGCCAAAATCATAATAAGGTTCATATATTATGGATTAGTAAATAAAATCTATTCTAATAATATTCGTGCTGGATAATGAGAACGATAACATGAATTGTGGTGCAGAGATTAGAGTCAAAGTGTCACCATAATTAGAATCAGGAGCATTTAACAAAGTGCTCACTAGAAGAAAGCGTGTCCTCCAACC